CCTGCAAACCCACTAAAATCTTAGTCAAATTGCAAAGGATGGAGATAAATGGTAGGGGATTTTTGTCTGTCTCCCCCTTCCCCAGAGGCCTCCAAGTGGCCCAGGAGAACAGAATCCCAAAAGGGTTTGTGTGTGTGTGCCTATGCATAGGCATGTAGAGCCCCACAAAAAACACTTAGGCCTTTTGTGATATTTGCAGACCAGGGCTGTGGATTCTGGCTTTGCCCCTTACTAACTGTATCAGGGTAGCCTAGGCTACACCATGGCAACACATAACTCATAAATTCAGGGTGTTCACACAGTAAAAGTTTATTTCTCATTTACCCTCTATGAACAATACAGGTGTGTCGGGGCCAGTGACTCAAATGTTTCACTCATAGGTGACACATGCCAGTTTCACCATATCTCATTGACTAAAGTCACCTGGTCACAGCTGACAAATTCTGCCCACCTTTCATTGGTTAAAGTCACATGGCCACTTATCCTCAGAGAGGAGTGAGGACAAGCAGTCCTACTCTGCTGGAAGGCAGAGAGCTGGAAATATGTGAACAGCCCAGTGACTACTATACTAGCCCAGTGACCTTTGAACCCATTTTCTATTCTTCAAAATATAGAGACGGTAACAGTGTTTACTTCATAGACTGCTGTGAGGATTAGATGAGAAAATTTATGTAACACTTGTGGTCCAACATCCCCTTCCGGGTGGTCCTTGGTACCCCGGTGAGGTTACATTCTGGGGTGTCTGTGTGCAGTGGGTCCAGCGCACCAAGGCTCCATGCTAACTGCCAACACTTACCCTGGCTTTCCAGCCCCAGCATCGAGCGGTCGCCAGAGGACGGATGACCTCCCACAGGTCTAACTGCTTAGGCCAGACACAGCTCATCCTTATAACCTGCCCCCACCCAGTCTCATTCCATTCCCGTCACTTTCTTCCCCTATCCTTCTTTAGGACAGACCCACCCCTCTGTCCAGTTACAGGAGAGGAGCCCATTGGAGAAAGGATGAGAATCCAAGGGAAATAGGAAGAAATTCAACTTTTATGTTGTGCAGAGCACTGGACTGGACGCTTTACCAGGGTTCCCTGATTACAACCTGGCCACAGCCCTGGGATGAGGGGAGTGTGCTCATCCTGGGTTAAGATGTGGGTGCTGATGATTGGGGTAGTAAGTGGCAGAGCCAGGATCTGAGCCCAGATCACTGTGACTCTGAAGACCACAATTCAGCCTCTGGGCTGTCTTTTGTTACTTCAGACAGAACTTCTGTCAGGGTTATAAGCTTATCGATGGCCCAAGGTCAGGTGTTTATGGCCTTTGGATCCCATTGTGCTGACATGGACACAGTGCTTTCTGGGAGGATAGGGAGTGAGCTTTCAGTCTTACTGCTCAACCTCCACTTCACTGTACTATGCAACTTTGGACAAGGCACTTCCTCTCGGGGCCTCAGTTTCCTCATCTGAAAATGAAGGGGCTGAACGAGGTGATCTGGAGCATTTTTCCAAGTCTAGGTTTTGGTGACATTGAGAATTTCTCACACTTGCTCTTCCCTTTGGCCCCATTACTGTGTTAGAAAGCAAAATAGAAGGGTAGGTAAAGATCCTGTGTTTAGAAGCCAACTGTGGGGGTGCAGTCAAGAGGCAGAAGCAGGAGGATCTTGAGTTCGAGGTTAGCCTGAGCTAGATGATGAGACCTTGTCTCCAAAAACAAGTCCCATGCTTGACATTACATAGGGCATTAATTAAATCCTAATTACCATTGGAAACCAAAAGCTTATGGATGTTTGTAATCCATAGCTGTTCTTTCCCTTCCTTACTATTTATAACAAACTCTGGTTTCCTCTGTGGCTAAGTCTGTCTCATCCTATAACAGAGGAAGTAAGGCTTAGCCTGTGCCTGAGCTCAGATCTCCTGAGTCTGCAGACCAGAGGACCCTCTCTGGGGTTCTGGGCTCTGCTCTTGGGCAGAACTGGGCTCTGCCTCCAGGTGGATATTGAAGCTGTGACTGGACATCTGTCAGAGGGTGAGCTATGGCTTATGCTTCCATGGAACCAAGCAGAGCAGTTGGGTAGGGCTGGGAGTTGGGAGAGGAGATGGAGAGCTCCACCTTCCACCACTACAACTGTAGGTCAATGCTCACATAGATTTTGAAATGCCCATGGTCAGGGCTAACGCCAAAGAAGATGAAAAGGAAGAGGACTCAAATTCAGGCATTCGTAGGGCCTACAGGTATCTCTTATGTATTTGGATTTTTTCCTACAGGATTGCTGTTGAGAGCTGGGATGTGCCTGAGAGCAATCTGGGCCAGATGGCTTCCCTAAGTTGCTGCTGGAGGATTTTAATGACAGTAGCGTGGGAGCTTCCTGACTGCGAGAGGGCTCCCCACACCTCCCCCAGGTTCCCATCTGCCCAGACGCCCACAGCTCCTGTCAATAGAAAGATGGAGGCCTCAAGATGCCTGGGGGAAGGGCCTTGGCTTAAGACAAGAGCTGGGGCTCAAACTTCAGTCCAATTAGGGACTCAGGACCAGTGTGTGTGTGTGTGTGTGTGTGTGTGTGTGTGTGTATTTCTATCAGAAAGCATTTGGGAGCTACATATGCATATAGTGACGGTTCCTGAGAAAGTTCAGGGTTTGCAAAGGAGGCAAAAGAAAAAGAAATACAGCTGGGAGGAGGGGTGAGAAAAATCCAGAGGAAGCAGTGGCTTCTTGAAGCTGGACAGGGCCTGAACAAGGCAGGGATTGTTCTAGGCTTCCTCTGACCTGTCTAACCTAAATTTCCCCCAAGCTGTGGTTTAAGCCTCTTTGCCACCTTGGATCACCACGAGGCCTCAGCCCAGTTAGCTCCTCCCTTTTGGGCAGTGGAGCCCAAAAGGGAGTGGCAGGGCAGCTTGGTGTTCAGCTGGGAGCTGCCAAGGTAGCTGGGGTAACTGAAATCCTGATGACCTGACCTCTAGAAGGCCTGAGACCTCTTGGCTTGTGCTGGCTACACACCCTGTGGCCTGGAAGGATGCAGAGGGGGGCAGGCAACAGCTCTGGCGGCATTTCCCAGCAGTGGAGCTGTGAGTCAGAAAGGTCACCTACTGTAGGAAGTCAAAGTGGACCTCCTGCAGGCAGGAAACCAGAATTGGGCCCCAAAGAAGTCCAGACGTGGGTGGGCAGGCAGCAAGGAGGGGAGGGGGGAAGCTTTGCAAAATGCATCCTTATCATTACACAGGGGCTAAGCCTGGAGCTTGCCTAGCCTGAAGAACAGCCTGGGCTGGCTGGACTCCCTTCCCCATGAGCACTTGCTTGAGGCGACCTGAGGAGTCCAAAACCACAAGCACAAGTTCAATTCCTGAGTCTGTTGCCAACAGGCTGGGTGAGACCCAGTTTCCCACTTGCAAAATTGAAAAAGGTCAGAGTGTAACTCCTAAGGTTATAGGAAACGAGAACATTCACATCAAGCACCATGTTTAAATGTTACTCTGCTGCTCACCTCATTTTGGTTGGAAGATGGAGGAGAGAATGGGCAGGACCCGACTGCTCGCCACTCTGCTGACCTCCTGCTCTGAGAGAGGTCATTCACTGGCCCCAGGTTCTAAATGCTAGTAAAAGGTGTGGGATCCCAACACCACTCTGAGGAACTACTGATGACTCTGCTCCTATTTGCCACAAAGATGGGAAGGGTGTGTGGATTTGCTGTTGGAATTATCGCAAACAGGGATGGGGCTCCTGGATGGAGCAGTCAACTGTGGGGGCAGGTGGGGGAGGGAAGGAGAGGAAGATGGCATCTCACGAACTTGCCCAAACCTCTGATATGATTTCATCATCCGAGGGTGATGCAAGAGTCTTGGAGTCAGAATCCCCTTTCTCCCCTCCCCCAGGGACCTCCATCCACATCTGGAGTTGCAGCTGGGTCCTGCTCTTGGGCCCTTTCCAGGAGAGGGAGCTGGATAAAGCAAGGGGAAGGGAGGGCAGCTGGTGAGGGGCCTGTCAATGGCCCCAATGTTGGGAGTTGGGGGGCAGGGAGGAGGGTTCCAGCTCAGAGGGAGGGGAGGTGAACTGGAAAGAGAATTGTGACTTCACAGCCGTGGTCTCCTCCTCCATCAGGCATCTGTGTTGAAGTTGCCAGGGCTCCCCTTGTCCTTTATATCACTCCTGCAGGCAGCTGCTCGCCTTCTCCTTCCCCTCCCACCCACCTCACTGCCGGCCTCTCTACCCAGGTGCCCGGAGTTGAGTGCCCCCTTTGTTCTCTCCTCTTCCCAGGGCAGCTCTGGCATCCCACACTGACCCTCTGCCCCCACTGCCACAACAAGCAGAGTGTGAGCCAGACCCAGTGGGTCATCTATGGGTCATAAAGGTCAATGGGACTGGGGTCTAGCAGTAGGGAGTGTCCCGGCTGGGTTAGGAGCCTGGATAGGAATCATCCAAAAGATGAGTTTTCAGCGCTGCTGGGAGGAGGTGGGGAAATTTTACTTAGACCTGATCAAGAATCCCCTTCGATAAGAGTTGACTGATTTACAGGAATAAATGCAGAAGAGACGCTTTCCCGGTTTTTTTTAAAAAACCATAAACAGCTAATCGCTGTGGGATGCTTTGAAGTGTGAGCTGCCCCAGAGGCCAGGGTTCTTACCCATACTTAACCACTAACTCTCTGTGTGACCTTGGGCTGTTCCCCTCTTTGCATCTGTTTCCTCACTTATAAAAGGAAGGTCCCACTGAGGCTGAGGCTCTGCAACTCTGAAGGGTCGAGGATCTAAAGAGGTCGGCTTCTCCGCTTGAGTTCGGAGTGCCACTGTCGCCCCCACCACCCACCACGCCAGTCCCTCCCGCCCCCAGCATCCCCGCGGCGCGCGCCCAGAGGTCCCTTTAAAGGCGCAAGTCCCGCCCCTGCTGCTCACTCGGGCCTTTTATTGGTGGCTCCGGAGAGGGGCGGGGCCCGGCGCGGGCTCGGCGGAGCTCGGGGGCGGATCCTGAGCCGGATCGGCCCCCGCCCCCTTTGTTCGCGCTGCGGCGGGAGGTGGCGGCTAGGGTGGGAGGTGTGTGCGCGCGTGTGCCGCGCGGTGGGGAGCGGCGGGTCGCGCCGCCGGCTGTCAGCTAGCTCTGCGCCGCCACCCGATGGCTCGAGGAGGCGCGCGGAACCTGCCCCGTGGGGCCGGCCGCGGGTGAGCTCCTCTGCTTGTCGCCCGTGAGCATGTCACCTCCAGCCTCCGCGGCAGCTTTCGCCAGCAGTGTCCGCGCCCCTGCCTGCTGCAGCCGCAGCCGCTGCCTCGGGCACTGGCCCCCGGACCCCCGCCCCTGATCCACGCCCAGACCCTATTGCCAGAGGACCATGGCTGGCCAGGGGGACTGCTGCGTCAAGGTGGCCGTCAGGTAGGGACCGATGGCGGGGAAGGAAGGCGTGAGAGGAGGGGGCTCGGGCTTTGTCTCGCGTGGGCTCGGGGCGGGGGGCACGGGCACAGCTCGAACTGGAACCCGCAGTCCCGGAGGAGGGGTCGGCATGCGCCAGGCTGGAGGGCGCCGTGCGCTGGCGGGGCTGTCGCAAGGGAGCGGCGGATCCGCAGACTACTGGAAGGGTGGCTTTGTTTGGGTGGTAATTTCGGGCCCCTCTTGGGAGCCCTTAATGATCAGAAAATCGAATAAACAAGGAAATCCGGTATTTCACACCCAGCCCTGGCCCAGGCCGGAGCGTCTATGTGTTTCCTCTTCATCTCCCCACGAGGCTGCTGTCTCATACCAAGGTATTGGAAGGGAGATTTTTTTTTTTTCCCCTCATCTACCCCAGTCAGCTAATTCTGTGCTTTTGGTGCAGCTAGCTAAGGCAGCACACCATCCGGGGAAGCAGTTCTGCAGACAAAGATCAACGGTTGAGGGACCCATGGAAAGGCTGGAATGGTGCCTTTGCCTTCCATAGAGAGCCTTGGCTTTTGGAGGCAACCCTACTGGTCCTGCCCCAAGAGGAGATGGGGCTAGGAGGAGGGAAGAAGAGGTGTATGTGAGGCACTACCTCTGAGATGGTGGGCGGGTGTGACATTAATACCCATCCTCAGGCACTCAGGTGAAACTGAGCAAGTGAAGGAGGGCTGAGTAGATTTATCTGGGGTTCCATTCCCAATGGCTCTGGGACTTGAAATGATGTGACAGACATCACCGGGAGGACATAGCTGGGTGGGTTCTATTTGGGAGGGGCACACAGAGGTGCAGGAGCAGGAAATACTGCAAAGTTGAACCATCTGTATCCTTTGTGTTGGGTGGAGATGCTTTCACACCACACTGTCTCTCGTTTTTGTGTGGGGGTTTTCTCTTTGAGAGGGGTTTATTGGGGGAGTACCCATCTGGATCTGGCCACTAAGGCAGGATGGAGAGGAGCTTCCATCCCTGCCCTAGCCTTGTGTGATGGGGGAGGGGAATGTTCCAGGTCTAGTGTGGGTCTCTGAGACACCCATGGGTCAGAGGTGACCCAGATTCCAGGGGTCTTTGGAAGGTGCCTCGAGACAGGGTCAGATATGGCAATGGAAAAGCTTCTTCCTGCCTGACCCAGTGCAGATGATCCCAGCTACCTGGCCAGCCCTTTAGCAGCCCAGAGAGGACACACTGGGGCTTATGACAGCTCTGGGATTGAGGCAAAGAGATTGAGGGCCCCCTACTCTTGTGCCCAAGGCACTGCTCAGAGCATCACTTGATGCAGTCTTCTTGGCACCGAAACAGCCGAGACAAAGAGAAGCCCTGCAGGTGCCTGGTGGGCTGGCGGGCGGGGCCAGGCTTCTACTGGGGCTGACATTGCATCAGGAGCCCCCGGAGGTTGAGGGAGGGTGAGAAATGTAAATATGACATCTTCAGCAGATGGGGAGAGGCTGATCACCATAAAAGGGAAATGAAGCTCCAACCCCCACCGGGTGTGAATCAGGGCTGGGAAGGAAGGGGCTGGGGTGCCCCTTCTATGGGGGCTTTCCTTTAGACTCCATCTTGGAGGAGAGAGCCAAACAAAGGCCCTCCACCTCTGCTCAGGGTTCCGAGACTAAGCCGGGCATTGTAAGATGTGGAGCTCCCAGTTGGGGAGCCTCAGGGCATGGGCACCTGTGTAGTCAGTGAGGAAAACCTGGTGCTCCCTTCCCACTGCCACCACCAAAAGGTTCCTGGACCCTTTCCACAGAGACGTGATGGTACCTACCCTCTGTGTCCAGTTTTAGGGTGATCTTCCCTGAGGCATTGGTGGGGATTGAGCAGTTGAAGGTGAGGACCCCGCCTACTCCTCCCCTTCTGCTCTGGCTCCAGCTCAGCATGATGGGCTAGTCCAACCAGGCACACGCCAGACCTCAATGGGCAGCCGGCCGTGGAAGGCAGACAATGCCTGGACAGAACCCAGTTTCTAATCAGAGAGCTGAGGGTAGGACTGGGCTAGGGCTGGGGCTGGGAGGAGGGGCAGATGGTGCCAATGACGTACTGCAGGAGGAGCTCTACTTGCTTTTGGATCTCCTTCTGTCTTCTGCCCCCAGAAATCACTTGTCCCACCCAAAGGACTGGGTTTGGGGCTGTAGTTGATGGGGTAGAGCATTTAACAAGAGGGTTAAGGATTTGAGATTGCCTAGACCTACCCCAACTTCAGTGCTCTTTGCCTTCTGTAGGTACAGTTGTCTTTCTGACCTCCTGGAAGTCCTTCCTTATATCTACCTGAAGCACTTTCTGAGTTCCCATTAGAATACCTTGTAGTGTGCCCTGGAGTCAAGTTCTTGGAAGGGAGGTGAGGAGTCTGACGTATGTGTTTTAGGGAGAGAGGCCCAAGCTGTTTGTTAGACAGGTGAGAAGTGCCAGGCCCCAGGCTCTAATCTGGGATGAGGATAAAAGCTGGCTATCCACAAAGTGCCTGGAGGAAGGCCTGGGCTTCTGGGCTCCTGGGCTCAGAGAGTCCAAAGGAGGAAACTTTTAGGACCTGGGGCTTCAGGATTAGGGGAAAAGAGCCAAGTGGAGCTTGGCCCATCTGCTCCTGATGGCTAAGTCAGCTTTGTACTACTGACTTCTAGGCCGGCCCCTTGGGCCTGCCCTGTGATCCATTAATCCCCTTGTACTACAAGGACTCTCAGCTTCCTGGGCTGGATTAGAACTGGCCTTTACCTGGGGATGGGGGGAGGGGGCTGTACAGCAAAATTAAAGAGAGGTGAGGCTGAGCTGTGACCTGCCCCTAGCTGCAGAAGTACAGGCCTGACAAATGGGGGGAAGAAGGGGCAGCTGTTAAGAAATACAGGTTGGCAAAGTTGAAATTAGGGAAGGAAGCCAAGTCACATGGTGTGTTTATTTAAGACCCTTTCAAACCCCCAGCTCTGAGTCCCCCACCCCGAGGGGAGCCCTTAGTGTTGCCTAACTCCTTCTGCCCCTTATCTCTGCCTGGCTCTCTTAAGCTTCCTTCCTTTCCTCTGCTGGGGAGGGGGAGGTGCCTTGGCCCGTCCTACATCCATCCATTGAGGCTGCAGGGTTGAGCAGGGTAAGGAGGGGATTGGGGGAAGGACCAGTCAGGTACACAAGGGACAGTGTTAGACTGGACCCTTTTCTTCTCCCACTTGTGTTCTCTAGCTGTAGCTATTTCCCTAATTCTAGGCTACTCTGAAATTTTGGTCAATGACTGTCAATTTTAAATCAAGAGCTTTGGCGGTGAGAGGATCGAAGAGGGAATGAAGAAGACAAAAGAAACTGTGGGATTGACTAATTGGGTTCCTTGAGGGCCCCAAAGCCAGGCAGTGCTACTCAGTGCCAGCTGTGTCTCGTGCTGTATAGTTTACAGATTTGGGAAACTGAGGTCCAGATAGGACTTTGTGTGTTCTGTGTGGAGGCCTGGGAATCTTGGTGGCCTCCTGGTGCAGAAACGGCTTATATATGTCATAACAAGGAAGTAGAGTGTAGTAACCACAGGCCCCGGAAACCACCCTCCTCCACTACTCAGCCAGCTTGCTTCATTGGAGCTCAGCTTTTGAAAACCTTAGCGTGGAGGCAGGTAGGGTAGGGCTAGGCCAGAGAAGTGACAAAGGTAGCACATGCCTGGCACCCTTACTCTTACAGCTCTAGGAGCAAAGGGCAGCACTGGAAGATGATGTAATGCATCTACTGGTGGGGTCATGAGGCCACTTTCCTGTTTGTCCTTTTAGGCCTCAGTTTTACACACTGGAGAATGGGAGCACCTGGTTTGTTAATTTGTGCAGAGCAGTAGTTTCAATGATGTAGAAGGCATATAAATAATCGTGAGGGGACAAAATGCAGGTGGATTCCTGAGGAGTCAAGTATGAATAAAATGTTTAAGAAACAAGCCCTAAATTAAGTGTAGGTGCCTCTCTGGTTTAAGTGACATTGAACTGTTTGATAAAATGAATTCATCTCCAGCCCATTTATTTATTTGGAGCAGGCAGCACACTATGATGGAATGGAGACTGAACAGAAAGTGGCTAAGTACTATGACTTATTGAGCATTTACTTGGTGCCAGGCATTGTGCCCACACTATCCCACCAAGCCTGCCGATGGTGGGGCTAGATCTAAACTTGGGGTACTCTCCCTTGCGAGCTCCTCAGAGGGCTCTAATCTACTTCTCGACCCAATGCTAACTGGCTGAGTGCCTTGCGTCTCTGTGCTTTGGTTTCTTCAAATGCTTTGATACCGCACTGTTGAGTGAAAGGCGATGTGGGAAAGCATATGGTGTGATGCAGACGCATGGCAAGGAGTGAGGCTGTCCAATTTGCCTTATGGGGTTGTTTGGCAGAGGGCTTCCTGTCACCACTGTGGTCCTAGAAGCTGAATCCCTACTCTTCCCCTTTGTGTTTGGGGAGCTTCTTTCTCCTTACCCTCCCATTCTTAGATTCCTGAACCTGTCTCCTGTCCACTCTCTAGGGAAAGAAGTTTTGGAGAACCAAGTCTCCTCCTGCAGCCCCTCTCCCTTCCCCCAAAGGTCAGAACTCTAAGTGTCCTGGGCCTCTCATTTTGCCCTCTAGACAGCAGCATACCAAGAGCATTGAGGACATCTCAAGCAGCATCTTCCTGCCCCTACCCCTTGGGACAGCTGGAGGGGGCACTGAGAGGGGAGCTGTGCTAGCACTGGGCTGCCAACCCAGGGAAACCCATTCCTCCATCCCAGGGAGAGGAGGAGAGGCTGAGCTCAGTTAGGGGAGAGGGGACCTGTGAAGCCTGGGGCAGGTGGCAGCCCATTGGCCGCAGTGCCCTGTTCTCTAGAGGACTCCCTCTTTGGCCTCCAGCTGCTCTGGGGTGTGGAAAGGAGGGCATGCCATGGTGGTCCTAATCCCAGATGCTGAGTCCCTGTGCCTCTGCCTTCCATGGTGGTGTCTACCAGTGTGGCAGTGGTGGAAGCTGCCTTTTCTCTAGGCTGGACTAGTCC